ACTGGTGAGGTTAACCTAGATGACAAATAAATAGAGGCACAGTTCAGGAAAAATGGCTTAAAGTTGGGAGATGTAAAGTTTCTCCCTAATTGAATTAATATGGTTTCATACAAATGATAAGTATCAGAGGGGTAGCCGTGTTAGTCTGAATCTGCAAAAGCGACGAGGAGTCCTGTGGCACCTTATAGACTAACTGAAGTGTAGGAGCATAAGCTTTCGTGGGCAAAGACCCACTTCGTCAGATGCATGTAGTGGAAATTTCCAGAGGCAGGAATAAATATGCAGGCCAGGATCAGGCTGGAGATGACGAGGTGGATCCAATCAAGGAGGATGAGGCCCACTTCTAGCAGCTGATCTGGAGGTGTGAATTCCAAGAGAGCAGAAGCTGCTTTTGTAGTTAGCGAGCCATTCACAGTCTTTGTTTAATCCAGAGTTGATTGTGTCAAACTTAAAGATGAACTGTAGCTCAGCAAAATGCAGGACAATGTAGCACTTTAAAGACTAACAAGATGGTTTATTAGATGATGAGCTTTCGTGGGCCATACCCACTTCCTCAGATCAACCTCAGCAGTTTCTCAGCAAAAAAAACAGTTTCTCTGTAGCGGAAATTTCCACTACATGCATCTGACGAAGTGGGTCTTTGCCCACGAAAGCTTATGCTCCTACACTTCAGTTAGTCTATAAGGTGCCACAGGACTCCTCGTCACAAATGATGATGTATGTCAAAGAAGAGCAGAATTATTTTCTATCTCACTTCATTCCAGTTCATGTAATTATTCTATTTACAACACTGACCACACACAGGAAAGTGGTTGCCCTTAAAGGATTCACAGTTTTGCTATAACAGTATTGTTGCCTTAGGGTACATCTACACTGCACGCTTATTTTTAAATAAGCTATTCCAGAAGAAATACTCCAAAATAGCTTATTTCGAAATAGCAGGTCTACACTACAGGGAAGCCTCAAAATTAGTCGGAGGGAGGCTTCCTTAATGTGGATGTGCTACCTTGATATAGACAGAGCCTCAGGAGGCCCTGGAGAGTAATTAGTAATTGAATGGCCCTGGGGAGGAGCTATTTCAAAATAGCAGCAGTGGAGCACTCATCCACACTACTGTTATTCCGAAATAGCTATTTTGGAATAGGCATTATTTCTTGTGGAATGAGATTTACAGAAGTTGGACTAAGCCGTCCGTTATTTTGAAATTATTTTGAAATAACAGAATTGCTGTGTAGACGCTCGCATTTTTATTTCAGAATAATGGCCATTATTCCGAAATAAGGCTGCTGTGTAGACGCACCCTTACATATTAGGTAAGGTATACTCCCTGCAGTATTCCTGTCCTGTGCCAGTACCACAAAAGTCCATCTGTCCTGAAGGAAGGGAATGTTTTTATTTCTTTCAATTTTATTCATAAAGATTTTGGGGATACATGACTGCAAAGATGCTTTTCAGTTGTACTAGAAAGCACAGTGAGCAGTGAGATGCTGAAATGTTTCATACCCTCAAATTATCTAAAAAATATGATATTTGGACCTCTTAACAGAACTTCACATGAAGTATGCAGTGTAGGCAGTGATCATGTCCGGCCAAAAATATTAAAGGGACAAGGTGGGTGAGGTAATATTTTTTATTGGATCACCTTCTGTTGGTAAGAAAGTGAAATTTTTGAGCCACAGAGAGCTCTTCAGTTCAGGGAAAGGTACTCTGAGCCTCACAGCTAATGGAAGGCGGGAAAGATTGTTTAGCATAAGTAGCTAGCACATACTCTAAGGGACCATTCTAAGAGTGGCCTGAGAAGAGCTTGTGTAGCTTGAAAGCTTGGACTACTCTACACTACAGACCAGTATCAATTTTAAAAAAATGCCCCCCCTCCCTACCGAGTGATGTTGTTTTACTGATGTATCTGCCCATGCAGACAGGGAGAGCTTCAGAAGCTGACATAGAAACTGCCTCTAGCTCTTTCCTATCAGCTTAGAGCATTTTCATTAAACGCTGAAGCTGTGCTGATGCAGCATTTTAAGTATAGACTTGCTCTGTGTCTCACACCAACCGAAGTTGGTGTATATAAGATATATATTACCTCACTCACTTTGTCACTCTGTGCATGAAGAAAACCATTTGAGAAAGCAATCATTATTTATAATATTAATGTTAGCCAGAAAGAGTACTATATCTGTGTTTTAATATAAACCCAGTTTACAATGGGCCTTGGAGAAAATCTTGTTCCTCACACTGTTTGCTTCTCTTTAACTTGCTAGCATGGCAAAGTGGTTATTTTCTTTTATAACCATAACGTTTATTAAATAATCAGCCATATTTTCAAAATTAACATTACCATCATTTGGAATATAAATGTCAAGATAGATTCAATGATTCTCTGGAGTCTCTGAAAGATTTAGTCAGCTATGCCCAAATAACTCCTGCCTTCATCGTTCCATTGTAAAGCATTTCCAAATTTGAATCAGAGAATCCAAAGAGCATCTAATTTCCATCTATAAGAAATCAAGTCAAATTGTTCGTAATGTTCTGACAAAAATCAGACTCCGGACCCTATGGGGCAGACGCATACAATTAGGGCAATGAAATAGACTGACTGAATTGCTTTAGTCACATGACATATCCCAATAAATGAACCTTTCCTGGAAATACACAACAGAGACTAACAATATAAAATCTGAATATATCAAGTCAGAGCAAGGAAATTGTCATTCGTGGAAAAAATGGGAGTGATAGATAGATCATGAAATCCAAACTAAGAGTGATGCTATCATCATCAGGTTTGTTTTCCATCCTTTCTTTTGAAGGAATGAAATCGAACGGTGTCAGACTTGATAAAGTTGGCTACTGCGGGGGACAAAGAACTGGGAATGAAATGACACCAGTATTCATAGAGGGAGAAAAGAATCTGGCTCCAAGCCTGAGTCTATATTATAGATTATGAATGAACATTCTCAGGAGTCCTGAGGGGCCAGGAAAGTAAATATCTTGTAATTACTGCACTTCTCTTTTGTTCAAATATTCACAAGGACCAGAGTTGCTTAAAGCTTCTAGTTTCTCAGTTTTCAGAGTATGCATAAAAAAGATCTTTGGCATAGAATTCTAAAGTTCTGTGATAATTACTTTCTAATATTGTTCATAAAACACTATCTGTTTTCACAGTAATTTCCTATGAAATCCTATGATGTGATCCTCATAGCATGGCTACCAAGTCAGTTAGACACCCATACCTGCTTTGCCTATTTGGACAGCCAATTTGGTCAGCTTGCCCTGGAGGACAGATTTCTCTTTCTTGTGCATGTTTGCTTTCTTCTTGTCTTTGTCATCTCCCTCTCCCCCTTCTGCACTCTTCAGTGGCTGCATCTCCATGGCAGCTGCTCCATCCTGCTGCTTGGCTAACAATGCAAAAGAAAACTGTTACTCTGGAATTTTTATCCAACATAATTTCTACCCTTTTATTTAAAGAAAAAATCTCTTTGACGTTGTTCATTCATTTTAAATTAAACTTGTAACAGTCCCAATATGTTCTGCTAGTAACATGGATGATTACTTATGAATGTACACAGTACCCTGATCCTTCAGCTGGCGGGCCACAAGAGTTTTGCTCATCTTCACAAGAGTCTGCTCCTTTGAAGGATCAAGTTCTGAGACTAAAATTTATGGGACATATAACGTGACTTTGTAGTGCCAGATACATTTAAATAGCATTCAATACATTTTTCCTGTTAATAATATTGTGTGTGAGTGTCTGTGTCTCATAGATATGCCAATTGTTTTACATATGAGAATAACATTACCTTACTACTGGTCTACGTCTAGATTGGCCACAAATTCCGGAAAAGGGATGCAAATCAGGTAAGTCAGCATAGGGAAATCCGCGGGGGATTTAAATATCCCCCGCGGATTTAAATAAACATTTCTGCCGCTTTTTTTACGGCTTGGGGAAAAGCCGGAAAAAAAGCGTCTAGACTGGCGCGATCCTCCGGAATAAAGCCCTTTTCCAGAGGATCTCTTATTCCTACTTGAAAGCTGTAGGAATAAGAGATCCTCCGGAAAAGAGCTTTATTCTGGAGGATCACGCCAGTCTAGACGCTTTTTTTCCGGCTTTTCCCCAAGCCGTAAAAAAAGCGGCAGAAATGTTTATTTAAATCCGCGGGGGATATTTAAATCCCCCGCGGATTTCCCTATGCTGACTTACCTGATTTGCATCCCTTTTCCGGAATTTGTGGCCAATCTAGACGTAGACCAGTAGTAAGGTAATGTTATTCTCATATGTAAAACAATTGGCATATCTATGAGACACAGACACTCACACACAATATTATTAACAGGAAAAATGTATTGAATGCTATTTAAATGTATCTGGCACTACAAAGTCACGTTATATGTCCCATAAATTTTAGTCTCAGAACTTGATCCTTCAAAGGAGCAGACTCTTGTGAAGATGAGCAAAACTCTTGTGGCCCGCCAGCTGAAGGATCAGGGTACTGTGTACATTCATAAGTAATCATCCATGTTACTAGCAGAACATATTGGGACTGTTACAAGTTTAATTTAAAATGAATGAACAACGTCAAAGAGATTTTTTCTTTAAATAAAAGGGTAGAAATTATGTTGGATAAAAATTCCAGAGTAACAGTTTTCTTTTGCATTGTTAGCCAAGCAGCAGGATGGAGCAGCTGCCATGGAGATGCAGCCACTGAAGAGTGCAGAAGGGGGAGAGGGAGATGACAAAGACAAGAAGAAAGCAAACATGCACAAGAAAGAGAAATCTGTCCTCCAGGGCAAGCTGACCAAATTGGCTGTCCAAATAGGCAAAGCAGGTATGGGTGTCTAACTGACTTGGTAGCCATGCTATGAGGATCACATCATAGGATTTCATAGGAAATTACTGTGAAAACAGATAGTGTTTTATGAACAATATTAGAAAGTAATTATCACAGAACTTTAGAATTCTATGCCAAAGATCTTTTTTATGCATACTCTGAAAACTGAGAAACTAGAAGCTTTAAGCAACTCTGGTCCTTGTGAATATTTGAACAAAAGAGAAGTGCAGTAATTACAAGATATTTACTTTCCTGGCCCCTCAGGACTCCTGAGAATGTTCATTCATAATCTATAATATAGACTCAGGCTTGGAGCCAGATTCTTTTCTCCCTCTATGAATACTGGTGTCATTTCATTCCCAGTTCTTTGTCCCCCGCAGTAGCCAACTTTATCAAGTCTGACACCGTTCGATTTCATTCCTTCAAAAGAAAGGATGGAAAACAAACCTGATGATGATAGCATCACTCTTAGTTTGGATTTCATGATCTATCTATCACTCCCATTTTTTCCACGAATGACAATTTCCTTGCTCTGACTTGATATATTCAGATTTTATATTGTTAGTCTCTGTTGTGTATTTCCAGGAAAGGTTCATTTATTGGGATATGTCATGTGACTAAAGCAATTCAGTCAGTCTATTTCATTGCCCTAATTGTATGCGTCTGCCCCATAGGGTCCGGAGTCTGATTTTTGTCAGAACATTACGAACAATTTGACTTGATTTCTTATAGATGGAAATTAGATGCTCTTTGGATTCTCTGATTCAAATTTGGAAATGCTTTACAATGGAACGATGAAGGCAGGAGTTATTTGGGCATAGCTGACTAAATCTTTCAGAGACTCCAGAGAATCATTGAATCTATCTTGACATTTATATTCCAAATGATGGTAATGTTAATTTTGAAAATATGGCTGATTATTTAATAAACGTTATGGTTATAAAAGAAAATAACCACTTTGCCATGCTAGCAAGTTAAAGAGAAGCAAACAGTGTGAGGAACAAGATTTTCTCCAAGGCCCATTGTAAACTGGGTTTATATTAAAACACAGATATAGTACTCTTTCTGGCTAACATTAATATTATAAATAATGATTGCTTTCTCAAATGGTTTTCTTCATGCACAGAGTGACAAAGTGAGTGAGGTAATATATATCTTATATACACCAACTTCGGTTGGTGTGAGACACAGAGCAAGTCTATACTTAAAATGCTGCATCAGCACAGCTTCAGCGTTTAATGAAAATGCTCTAAGCTGATAGGAAAGAGCTAGAGGCAGTTTCTATGTCAGCTTCTGAAGCTCTCCCTGTCTGCATGGGCAGATACATCAGTAAAACAACATCACTCGGTAGGGAGGGGGGGCATTTTTTAAAAATTGATACTGGTCTGTAGTGTAGAGTAGTCCAAGCTTTCAAGCTACACAAGCTCTTCTCAGGCCACTCTTAGAATGGTCCCTTAGAGTATGTGCTAGCTACTTATGCTAAACAATCTTTCCCGCCTTCCATTAGCTGTGAGGCTCAGAGTACCTTTCCCTGAACTGAAGAGCTCTCTGTGCCTCAAAAATTTCACTTTCTTACCAACAGAAGGTGATCCAATAAAAAATATTACCTCACCCACCTTGTCCCTTTAATATTTTTGGCCGGACATGATCACTGCCTACACTGCATACTTTATGTGAAGTTCTGTTAAGAGGTCCAAATATCATGATAAACCTTCAAATAAAAAATGTCTCCAATTGCCCCTTTCCACTGATGGATATGGGAACTGTTGATGAAATTGCACCAGCTCTATTGGAAGGATAAACAAAACAAAATCAAGGTTTATCTTATCACAACCAAAGCCAGATGTGCGTAATTTTGAATTTTCAAAAACATACGATGCTCTTGCACCTAATAAATTGCTAACTAGACATCTATGACTTAGTCCACTTTCTTCAGTGCTATAGCAAGAAGAAGGAAGCAAAAAAAGATCCTTAGTGGAGAAGAGGGGGCCTTAGTTAGAAGATTATACCGTTGCTCTAAAATATTTTATATGTTTTAAACCTGTGTATTAGTTTAAGGTTATTAAAAGATTTATTGTAATCTATTTAAAATTTGCCATGTTATTAAGCATACCGGTCTGATACAAGTTAGAATAATGTATGCTGATTGGTTTCTTGGGCACATCACATAATCCTGATTAGTGAGCAAAAAATGCAATTTACAATCCTTCCTAAATCTAAGGCAAACATATTCATATGGACATCAATTATAATTTACCTGGGTTTTAGAACAGTAACATTCTATGAGCGCTGAATCTTTTCAGAATTATAACAATTCCAAATGACCAGAAAGCTTCATAGTTTTTGCATACCTAAAAGAGTGACAAAGATATGGCCAATAAATCTGAATGAAACTGTAAATGCAGCTGTTTGGTGGTAAGATTTCCTACTGCTTATGAGATGTCATGTTTCTGTACAATATTGTGCATCATGGCCAAATGCTTGCTATTTGGGAACAAAACACCAGTTTGAAACATTTATTTATTTTTTTTATTTCAATAAAGCATATAAATTCTTGTTATTATAGTCAGATGCATTTTTGCTTTTGCAATCTTGCCCAGCCAATAGTTCAACAGATTATTTTTCTACAAGCCATGTTAAAAATCAAAGACAACAGATCCTTTTTCTGAGATTTATTAAGATGTGCTTTTATAAAAAAGAAACATGTGGAAACAAATGGTATATAAATATCTGAGCGGGAATAGTATTGTTCACCATTTCGTATAAATTTGCATTTGGGAAGTATTAGTAACATCTTGGAAATTGAAAAAGGAAGATTTAGTAAGAAATAGGAAATCTTTTATTAAATTAAGCTTAAAGATATAGCTTCCCCAAGGCTGATCCATAAGGCTAGAGGTGTTTAAAATACTAGGGTATGTCTACACTGCACAGCTATTTTGGGATACTGGAGGTATCCCAAAATAGCTACCCCAAATCTACACAAATATTTTTTGAAATAATGGGCATGCTATTTCGCCATCCTGGTAAACCTCATTGCACAAGGGATAAGGGATGGCTCAAATAGCACATTATTTTCAAATTTGGCATTGTGTAGACTCACCAAGTTTCAAAGAAAGCTATTTTGAAATAGTTTCTAAATAAGATTTGCAATTTGCATAGTGCAAATTGCGTATCTTATTTCAAGTGCAGGGTGCTGTGGAAACGCACCCCTAAAGATAGTTTAAAAATGTGATAACACACAGATGTAATGTAGAGTTCAATTCTCTTTCATTCAGAGTAATGCAACAAATAATCCAAAAGCTCAATTTAAAACTTAATTTATGGACTATGTTCTCCTGATCTTATATGTATGTGATTCACCATTAATTTAATATCAATGGGTTTTTCCCTGTGACCTAAGAGAATAAGTTCAAATCACATTAGACACAAGTGTTGAGTTCAGAGGTGACAGTAAGTGGGTGTGCCTGGGTGCGCAGGTACGGCAATAGATGACTGACCTGCAGCAAAAGCCATCAGGGAGCTATATAAAGAACTAGCAGGGACCTGGGTTGCAATTGGACAGTATCTGTAAGAAATGTGAAGTTACTTTCACTGCTGTTTGGATTCACATTACAAATGCTTTTGTTTCATGATTGTTGCTCCCCGTAGTTAAATTACTTTTGTGTTTTCAGGTTTGGTGATGTCTGCCATTACTGTCATAATTTTGGTACTGTACTTTGCTATTGACACTTTTGTTGTCAGCAAGAAGCAGTGGCTGCCTGAGTGCACTCCTGTCTATGTTCAATATTTTGTCAAGTTCTTCATCATCGGTGTTACTGTTCTCGTGGTCGCTGTTCCTGAAGGACTTCCACTTGCTGTCACAATTTCTCTAGCTTATTCTGTTAAAGTAAGTAGCACTTCAAACTGCTCTTTCCACCAATTCTCAGTAGTTTTAAATTTAGTAGTGGACTCGCTGTTTAATTTTTATGCACGTGGTAGAAAGCTGGTAACCTACCAGAGTAAACAAAACGTGCACTGTGAAGGAAGCTGCTTTAAACAAATTGAAGACACTTCAGAGTAAAAATTCCAACAGAATATATTCATTGACATTTCTGTAAATGTACATTGTAGAAGAATATAATAAACTAACACTAAAGACATTTTCTTATAGAAGACAGTCTCCCAGAAATTCACTGCGAATGTTTATTAATGGGAGAAACACCATTTTTTGGTGTAAAATATCTGCTTATCTTCCTATTCCCTGCTGCATCAATATAGATTTGGAAAAGTATTTGTTTTCTTCAGCAATTCTCTACATTAAGACATGAGGTTTCCACATTTGTGTTTGTATTATTAAATACTGTTATAATTGCCCATAGCTAGTATAAATGATTTCATTAGGTAATTTAAGGGAATTATAATGAGGACCCTGGTTTTTGTAGCTTTGGGAGTACATGACTGATTATATTAGAAAGCTAATCTAGTAATAATTGTGTATATAAAAAACCTACAGCTGAGAATCTCAAATCACTTTACAAAGGTAAGCAGTGCCATTACCTTCTTTTTACATAGCAATAAACTGAGGCACAGAGAACATGAAGATGTGAAGTGATTTGCACAGTTACACAGCCAGGCAGTAGCAAAGTTGGAAGTAGAATCCAGGTGCCTAAAGTCTCAGTACCTGTATGTTAACCATTAAACATTGCAATCACCTTTTAAATCAGTTGCATAAATATATAGTCACATATAGGTCCAGATTTTGATACTATGCTCCATGAATACTGACTTCAGTACAATGTCCCCCCTAATTTTTCCCATCCATATGCAGAGTTTTTCCATTCATGTGCAGAATAAATATTTTATGTGCACCAAGGAATGGGTTAATGTGCACCACCAGTAGAAACAAAAAACCCGGGTGTAGGTGCTCTGCTAATCAGCTGGGTGGCATTTGAATCTCTCCTGCGTGGCTGCATAAGGACACAACTTATAGAGAACACTGTAAGTGGGGATGCATTTTAGATTGAAGGTCTACTCTGAGTAAGAGTTTGATAGATTGGCCCAAACTAATGATAATACAATAAGGGTAAAAATCACAGCCCTAGCCTGGAATATTCCACAGTAGTAGAGTTTTGCAAGATGCAGGTCCCACTGATAGGACTGCTTTTTATGATGCAAGTTCACATAGTTTTACCTTAAAACTCTAATAATACTGGGATTTGGAATACTTTAAAAAGGTCTAAAGCACCTAAATAAAGAGTTAATCAAAATGGATAATTTCCAGAGTACTACAGTTCAGATCAATATTAAAATAAATGAATATTCATTGATTTACATAGATAGCTCTGGATTCAGCTGATGCTTGCTGGTGTCATTTAGCTTCTATTTGCACTGTTTTGATTTTGGAAATTTTGATCTAGCAAGAACTTTATTTTTAAACAGTTAATTACTAATTGTTAAATTTCCACTATTAGGGTTCTTGGATGAAGGAAAACAAAAGCCTGTCTAGAAGTTTTAAAAAAACTGTATGACATTACATCAGCACTTAATGTTTCACAGTAATCATTGTTTAAAAATAGACTGTTGTTTTAGCTAACTTATAGCTAAATATAGTTCTGTCTGAGTTCAAGCAATTCCTTACAGTGGATTCACTGCAAATTCTTAGTGTAAAAGGAAAATTGGCAAGCTTTTTCAGGCTTGACTACTACCTGCTCTTTACATTGACACATTGGTAAACAAACAGTACACTCTAATAGTCACAGCCAACTCTCGATATTTTTAGTATACTGAGAGATTTTAAAAATCTGTCAAAGCAAATTTTTGAAGACTTCTTATTTTGCTTTCCACCAGAAAATGATGAAAGATAACAATCTGGTCCGTCACTTAGATGCTTGTGAGACAATGGGTAATGCTACGGCCATCTGCTCTGACAAAACAGGGACACTAACAACCAACAGGATGACAGTAGTACAAGCCTACATTGGTGATGTCCACTACAAAGAGATCCCTGACCCCGATTCTATATCAGACAAAACTCTCGATGTGCTGGTTAATGCAATTGCCATCAACAGTGCTTATACTACAAAAATTCTGGTAAGTAGGCTTTTGCAGTAAATCCAGTTTTCGGAGCATTAGTAATACTTAAATGACCATGAGCTGTTAAAGACTGTTGAAGTCCTCCAAATGAGAGTAGGAGGTTAAAAAAGAACACATTTTATTATTTGTTACTTTAAGAATGGAAATGCTTTCATATATTATTTTTTCTATAAATTAGAAAAGATACAGTTGATTATTGGAGAGATGATTATTGCCCTGCCAAGTCCCAAAATCCAGGGCCCCATAGTACATTGAAACTCCGATATCATTTAATCAGTATGATTCAGGATCTGAGCTGTACACTTGTAACTTTGCTGGCACAAATAGTTTTCAGTGGCTTCCGTGAAACTACTGTTTTTAAAATTACTCATGTATACAAACTTTGCAGGATTGGGACCTGAATTCTTGAAATATAAGTCGCTATAATGGTGGGATTAATGGTCTCTCTTCATTCCAAATTCAGCGGAGGATGAATTTAACTCTCTGGGTAAAGGAGGACATTTTGAAAAGAGCAGATTTCTAATGGGACTGTAGATTCCACTATGCTGGGAAGATTAAGTGGCTGCAAAATTCTGATTTCTGCTGCTCCGATGTTCATATCATTTGAAAGGGCAAATAGTGCTTTTTTCAGTCCAATAGTAACAATATATACTGAAACTTTTATAGACTGAGCCTTTTTTAGGCAAATGAAATAAAATTTGTCTATTTGCATGTATAAACTGAACTGCCTGGTGTGGTCAAAGTACACATTAATTTGATTTTAAAAGCTGTCACCCAAAATACAGTCAGAGATAGTGTATTTGCAGAAATGTGAGTATAGGTCCACTTTCTGGTGAGCTATTCAATCCAAATCACATTTTTCTTTGTTTAAGATTTTTTAAAAAATGCTGTCTCTCTTGTCATTCCAGGCATGATTTTTTAGCTTAATGTAAATGTAAGTCCTGCTCAGAGCAGGTATGTTGAAGCTATTGCTTTCATAAAACTAAATGGACATGTCTGTGCTGAGAGAGCTAACTAAACTTTTTCCTGTTGCTGGGGTCAAATGATGAGAGGATTTGAGTCTTGATAAAAAAATAATTGCAGATATTGAGAGCCTCTCGCAGTTTGGGCCTCTGTTTTATCTTTTCAGGAATCTCACCATCTTACATGTTTCATCTCTCCTGTATGTGGCATATGGTCATCATTGTTCTGTAGGGAGATCTTGGGAAAATGTCAGAGTTTTATTGTACTATTCAACACATGAAGGATGGGGTCTTTAGAGGTCCTGTACTCATTAGAAATCAGTGTGTCTTGTCCTCTGATTTGATCACTGGAGACTGACAGTAGATTTTTCTGGTTGTTCTAAAAGGCTGTTTTAGTGTCTGCGAGCTAAAGATTTCAGAATCTGTGAAGGGGCTGATATGCTGAACTAAAATATATTTCAATATTTAAGTACTCCATTAGTTTGTAGTGTATGTGGTTGACTTTTCATTATATACGGTGGCAGTGCCTACATTCAGGCCTTCATTGGGCAAGACACTATACCAACAAAAACTTTCCCTGATCCCAAGAGCTGTCAAACTAAGCTGATGACAAGATGCAACACATAAATACACAGACAAACTGGGACAGGGAACAAAAGGCAGTTATAGAGAGTGAAGATGCATAAATGTTTGAGAGGTTGTACTGGTCAGAAGTGCCTACCAGACAATAGTGATTTGTAGGCATCACTCTGAAGAGGTAGACTTTCAGGGAGGGTTGTAGAGGATGTCACAATGGCTTTCCAAATTTCATTGGGAAACTCTTCCCGCTTGTGAGAGGTAGAGTGGCAGAGGTGTACAAAGATACTTGTAAGAAATATGAATAAGCTCCCAATTAAGTTAGAGGTTACCAGCACAGTGATAGCAGTGACATTGTGATAGCAGTGTCTTGTGCCATTTAAGTCCTCGTTTTGCATTCACTTTTGCTCATTTTAAATGACTGAGATCATAGAATCATAGAACCAAAGAGCTGGAAGAGACCTCAGAAGGCCATCAACTCCAGCACCCTGCCCAAAGCAGGACCAATCCCAATTAAATCAACCCAGACAGGGCTTTGTAAAGCCAAGACTTAAACACCTCTAGAGATGGAAACTCCACTACTTCCCTAGGTAACCCATTCCAGTGCTTCACCACCCTCCCAGTGAAATAGTTTTTCTTAATATTCAATCTGGACCTCTCCCACTGCAATTTGAGACCTCTGTTCCTTGTTCTGCCATCTGTCACTACTGAGAACAGCCTCTCTCTATCCTCTTTGGAACCTCCCTTCAGGAAGTTGAAGGCTGCTATCAAATCCCTCCTCACTCTTCTCTTCTGCAGACTAAATAGACCCAACTCCCTCAGCCTCCCCTCGTAGCTCATATGCTCCAGCCCCCTAATCATTTTGGTCGCCCTACGCTGGACCCTCTCCAATGCATCCACATCCTTCCTGTAATTAGGGCCCAGAACTAGACATAATGCTCCATGGGTATGTCTACACTACCACCCTAGTTCGAACTAGGGTGGTTAATGTAGTCAATTGAAGTTGCAAATGAAGCCCAGGATTTAAATATCCCGGGCTTCATTTGCATTTTGCCGGGCGCCGCCATTTGTAAATTCCCGGTAGTTCGGACTCCGTGCCCGCGGCTATACGCAGCACGGAGTAGGTCGTTCGAATTAGGCTTTCTAATTCGAACTACCATTACACCTAGTTCGAACTAGGGTGGTAGTGTAGACATACCCCATATGTGGCCTCATCAGAGCCGAATAAAGAGGAATAATCACATCTCTGGATCGACTGGCAATGCTCCTCTTAATGCAACCTAATATGCCATTAGTCTTCTTGGCTACAGGGGCACACTGTTGACTCATATCCAGCATCTCATCCACTGTAATCCCCAGGTCATTTTCTGCTGAACTGCTACTTAGCCATTCAGTCCCCAGCCTGTAACAATGCTTGGGATTCTTCCGTCCCAAGTACAGAACTCTACATTTGTCCTTGTTGAACCTCATCAGATTTGTTGTGGCCCAGTCTTCCAATTTGTCTAAGTCACTCTGGACTCTATCCCTGTCATCCAGGAATGTCTACATCTCCCCCTAGCTTAGTGTCATCCACAAACTTGCTGAGGGAGCAATCCATCCCCTCATCATGGTCATTAGTAAAGATGTGAAACAAAACCATTCCCAGAACCGAACTTTGGGCACTCTGCTAGAAACCGACCACCATCCTGACAATGAGCCATTGATCACTACCCGCTGGGCCCGATCTTCCAGTGAGCTTTCTATCCATCTTACCGTCCATTTATCCCATCCACATTCCCTTAACTTGCTGTCAAGAATATTGTGGGAGACCATATCAAAAGCCTTGACTGACTTCCCCATATCCACAGAGCCAGGTACCTCATCATAGAAGCTAATCAGATTGGTCAGGCATGACCTGCCCTTCATGAATCCATGCTGACTATTCCTGATTACTTTCCCCTCTTCCAAGTGCTTCAAAATGGATTCCTTGAGGATCCCCTCCATGATTGTTCCAGGGACTGAGGTAAGACTGACCAGCCTATAGTTCCCTGGATTGTCCTTCTTCCCTTTCCTAAAGATGGGCACTACATTTGCCTTTTTCCAATCATCTAGGATCTCTCCAGGTCTCCGTGACTTTTCAAAGATAATGGCCAAAGTCTCCTCAATGACATTTGCCAACTCTCTCAGTACCCTCGGATGTATTAAGTCCGGACCCATCGATTTATGTACCTTTAGCTTTTTTAAATACTTCCTAACCTGTTCTTTCCCCACCAAAGGACTGTCCACCTTCGTCCCATATTACATCACTTAGCGCATTAGTCTGGGAGCTGACTTTCTCTGTGAAGACAGAGGCAAAGAAAGCATTAAGTACTTCAGCTTTCCTCACATCATCTGTCACTAGGTTACCGCCTTCATCCAGTAGGAGCCCTATACCCCCTCTGATCACCTTCTTCTTGCTAACATGCCTGTAGAAACCTTTCTTTTTATTCTTTAGCATCCCTTGTGAGTTGCAATTCCAATTGCACTTTCGCCTTCCTGATAACTCACCTGCATTCTCGAGCTATACATTTATATACTTCCCTAGTCATCTGTCCAAGTTTCCACTTTTTGTAAGCTCCCTTTTAGTGCTTAAGTTCAGCAAGGATTTCCCCAGTAAGCCAATCCGGTCTCCTATCATATTTGCTTCTCATGCTACCCATTGGAATGGTTTCTTTCTGTGCCTTCAGTAAGGCTTCTTTAAAATACTGCTAGCTCTCCTGGGCTCCTTTCCCCTTCATGTTAGCATCCCAGGAGATTCTGCCCATCAGGCCTCTGAGGGATTCGAAGTCTGGTTTTCTGAAGTCCAATGTGTGTATTTTACTACTCTCTTTTCTTCCTTCAGTCAGAATCCTGAAATCTACCATCTCATGATCCCTGCTTCCCAGGTTGTCACCCACCTCTTCTTCCACTATTAGTTCCTCCCTGTTTGTGAGCAGCAGGTCAAACTGTGCACAGCCCCTGGTCGGATCCTTCAGCACTTGTACCAAGATGTTATCCCCAACGTTCTCCAAAAACTTCCTGGATTGCCTGTGCACTGCCGTATTGGTCTCCCAACAGATGTAAGGGTAATTAAAGTCTCCCATGAGAACCACGGCCTGTGATCTTGAAACTTCTCTCAGTTGTCCGAAGAAAGCCTCATCTACCTCCTCCACCTGATTCGGCGGCCTGTAGGACCACCAACCACAACATCACTGCTGTTGCTTACACCTCTAAACTTGAGCCATAGATTCTCAACAGGCTTTTCTCCCTCTATCTACTGGAGTTCAGAGCAGTCATAGTGCTCTCTTACATACAGTGCAACTCCTCCTCCTTTTCTCCCCTGCCTGTTCTTCCTGAACAGTTTATACCCTTCCATGAAAGCGCTTCAGTCATGCGAGTCATCCCACAAAGTCTCTGTTATCCCAATCAAATCGTAATTCTTGGACTGGGCCAGGGCCTCCA